CCATCCTAGTGTCTTCCACCATGGTCGTGGTCGACAGTAAATCATGGGAGTACTCTATTCCTTCTCTCGTACTTTAATTTTATGTTTTGAGACAAAACGCTTTAAGTGGGGAGGAGTAGAGTGTAGGTTGAATTTCTCTTTGCTTATCTTTATGTTTTGATGCTAGTATGTGTTGGTTGGATTTGCAAAAATTTCATTAAATATATTTTTCTTGTTGAATATTTTTGGTATGCTATGCTTGTTTGGGAACACGTGATTCTTTAGGTTAGGATGTTCTTGATAATGGATAGCATGAATTGTGATCAAGTTGGTATTTTTGTAATGTTCCATGATTTTGTTGGTTGATGTGCTTAGCTCAATGCATGAAAATAATTTGGTAAGATTTGAGCCTTTACGAGCATATCATTTTTCTCTCATTTTTTTGGATTGAGTGTGTCGAATTTGACTTTGGTATTATGGAACCTGTATTTTAACTACTGTCGAGATTACATATGAACATGATAGTTAAAAATGATTTGGGCACTTTAGGATTAACCATTCCGTTTTCCCCCCACTAAATTGCATACCCATGCATTTTCCCCTTAGTTAACCACTTCGAGCCATTCTCATTTATTTGTTTTCACCATATTCATAAACCCGAGCCTTTTTATTTTTTTGATCCGATATATGCTCCATGAAAAAAACCAGCAGTTCGAAAAAAAATAAAAAGAAAGAAGCTGTTAGGAAAAAAAAGAAAAGACATGAGAAAAAAAGTAACAAAAATGTGTAAAAGAAAAAAACAACTTTATTTCAAAAGGAAAGTTGTTGTTTGATGATTTGTCTTTTTATCTTGTTGTGCTTAATGTTTTAATGGAGTAAAACTTGTTACTCGTTAAGTTCCTTGCCTTGAATTTTAGCCATATTATTTAGCCTTTTCCCTACCTTTACCTAAGCCTCGTTACAACCGATAAAACACCCTTTGATTTATGCATCTTGTTCTTATTAGTAGTTGAGATTTGATTTACTTGCAGGCCTATGGTAATATCGTGTCGATTCTGACATTGAGCATTTCTATACCCCAAACACATTGAGTGATTTGAGTGAATCCCGGTAAGGTGTTGAGTTATAAGCATTGAGATTGATGAATGAATGGATATTTCAATTGCATTTGACTTGTTCCAATTAGTGATGTTCAATTGATTGATTTCTTGACTTGAATAATTATTGTGGTCTCTATTTTGCTTCTTTGAATGTGAAACTTGACAAAGAAAGATAAATGGAATTTTTGACTTATTTGATTATATCATACTTGAGGAAAAGCATGAGATAAGTGAGGGGGAATTTGATGAGTGCTTAGAATTGGTAATATTTGCTCGTTAATTCTTCGATCTTATGGATTTGTTGGTGCTGATTTGGTTGTGTTATGCTTGTGTTCATGCAGTGCCTTACTTTCCAGAATTAGTGGTAAAACGAACGCATTCTGCATTTTTTTATTATTTGGTCACAGCTGGAGACATGGGCACGACTCTGGGCATGACATGGTCTGATGTGGCAGTTTCTAGAAGGTCCAGTCAGCGGCAGTTTTCTAGAAGATCTAGTCAGTGCGCCTTCTGGAAGATGGACGAGCTGAGTTGCATAAGGAGACATGTTTAAAGTTTGAATTTAGGAAAAACAATTATCTTTAGGATTATTTTATTTTAATTTCTTTATTTATCTTTAGGCTTTTAGATGCTATAAATACCCTCTTGGGGTAAGCCTAAATTCACAACTCAGATTACAATCTTCTTCTTCTTTCTAGTTTTATTAAAGCTTTCTCTTTTATTTATTTTTCAAGTTTTCGATTTTCTTTTTATTTTAAAACTTTGTTTTTAAATATGCTAAGTATATTTTTTTCATGCTTAGATAATTTTCTCATAAGCCGAGAGCTGAAGCGATGACTCAATTCCAAATGGAGAATTGAAAAAGGCCCTTAATAACTTCGGAATATCTCTCTCAATCTCTGTGCTTGTTTTTCAAAATCAAAACAGTTTTCAAAATCAAAGATTGACTATGGTCAAGAGGTTGTTGCAATTAAATGTGTGGGAGGAAGGATCGACTTATTGAAAGCACATTCGACTTCCTAGGAATACACTTGGCGAGATAGTCTTGACAAGAGGTAATTGAGATCGGAATTAACTGTTATTGAAGCAACAATCCGAGTCGATCACCACGAACTTAAGATCTACGACAATTGATGTTGATTAGATCAGTTTCCGAAATTGGAATCAAATATTGCCTTGGGTATTCGATATGCAAAATAGAGTCACGAGGATTGCCCTTGTAGAAAAAGTAACCGACGTGAATCCCGAAGGAAAAATCTAATTCGATGATCTAAAGGAAATTGAGTCAAAGCGAGGCTTGAGGTTGTTTATACCACATTCATTTTCAACGTTTAATTCTTGCATTTTTTTTATTCTTATTTTAAAGTACTTTTTACTATTTAATATATTTTTACCAACCCCCATTTTACTACTTACATTTTACTACTTATCTCTTGGTAAAATTATTCAAACATAAATATAGAATTTTCTAAGTCCCTGTGGAATCGGTTTTTACTTCTTTATACTATGTATTTCCTTTATTTATTAATTAAGAAGAAGGAATTTATTTGACATCAAAACGAAAGTTGTCACACGCATATATTAATAGAAAAAACTTCGAGTTTTAAGAAGAAAATTCAAATTCCAGAAAATTCCAGGGTAGGCACGTACCCACCCTAACACCAATATACATTTGCCACTGTTTGACCATACGAGATATTATGCATATGAGGAAATTAAGTGATCTACAGATTGTTCGAACTCCTCAAGAGGGTGAAGAAACAAATAATGAAGAACTGATTGGTGGTGGATCTTCATAAGCTTCGAATAGAGTTGAAGAAAATGTAGAAATTGAAGGTAATGCCTGATACTTTATTTAAATGGTGGTTGATTTTTTTATTGACTTGATTTTGAAAACTTACATTGAATTATTTATGTAGCTGAAAATGGTCAAAGGCTTAAGACTAGAGGTCGCACGATAATAAAGGAATTATACGAACTTTCTTGTGAAAGTTTCGAGTAAGGATGACAACCAACCTATTTGGACAGAAGCACGTGCTCTAGTTGGTTACCTAGGCATGATTGCATGTAATGCTAATATTTTACCCATAAATTTTGAGTCTTCGTGTCAAATGTCGAATAGTAACAAAAATTAGGTTGTGGATTGTATTAAGGTAATAATTTCATTGTAATAGATCATTCATTACAATTAAATAATAATTTATATTTACTTTTAACACATATTATTCGTAGGATAAATTTTCTCTAAAGGTCTCAAATGATATTTGCAAGCATTACGAAAGAAATGGAGAGACCACAAGAGTTCCTTAAAAAATAATTGTTTTAAGAATAATCTCAGCCTAGAATAAAAGATGCAAAATGTCCTACATTGGAATACTCAGGTATCAATGGGAAGATGCAATCAGGTTTTGGAGTTCAAAGAAATGAGGGGTATGATGCAATTTAAAAAAAAAATATTGTCACTATAATATTAACTTTATAAGTCATGTAAATTTCAAATTGTAGAATCGAGAGCACGTTGGTATTGCTAGTAGACAACAACAAAAGTTTACTCACAAAACTGGATCTAAGAGTTTTGCTCATATATAGCTCATGATGAGGTATTTTTTTTAATTATTGATTATTCACATAGTGATTTTAAGTTGGTAGCCCATAGTAACGAACATTTTTCTATTATTGTAAGTTTTAAGTTATATTCTACATTGTAGAAATTGCACATGACAGTAGAGTTGGACGAATAAAGCTCTTTCAAATGACACATACAAAAAAAGATGACTCTCATATAGTTCTTGAAACTGCAGAAATTATGGTATATTTACTTGACATAAAATCTAATTATGTAATATTAATAGTATTAATATTTTATTTTAAATAATGTTTGAATTCGTTCTAAATTATTAATTGATTATTATGAAAAATTGAGTAATAAAATGGTAGAGTATGAAGTTACGATCTTGGTTCTTGTAACACCCCATATCCAGTTTGGAAGAATAACTCGAATACTGGAGCATACATTAAGTTCGATGTTGCGGACAAAACAAGACCCTAACACATGCGCTCTATGAGGAAGCATACAAATTAAAATTCAATAACACGTGGCAATGGTTAATAAACAAATAATTGAAATCTCGCAACAACCAGAGCAATGGTTAATAAACAAATAATTGAAATCTCGCAACAACCAGAGCAATGGTTAATAAACAAATAATTGAAATCTCGCAACAACCAGAGCAATGCATGATACTCGCAATAGTCAGGTAAGGGCATAAACGTTATTTAACACATCCGAAAATTTCATAAATAAATCATTAAATTAAGTTTATCATTGAACATTAATAATGTAAAATTGACGACACACAAAATTTTGGATCAATCCAGATATCAAACGAGGACCTAATCGAACATACATTTTTAGGGACTAAAACATAACAATTCAAAAGTTACACGCGATCAACAAACATTCGATTAACCTTTCCATTATTTAACTAATCGTGTTTAAGGGTGTCAAAGCAAATCTTACAAAATTCCAAGTTACGGTTTGTTCTTAATTAACATTTTATGACCTGGACCATTTTGAACTTGTACAAACATGCTGGGTACATACTGAAACTTAAAGACACTTCAAACCTTTAATGAATGCAATTCTAACCTTTTCCATCAGGTTCAACAATGAAGGGATCGATTCTTTTTGAAAGGGATAGATCCTTTTTCACGAGGGGTCAATCAATTGCAAAACAATGAGTTTGGGATCGATACTCTAGGCCAAGGGATCAATCCTTTATGAAGGGATCAATCCTTTTATTGGAAAAGTGTAGAATTCTCAAGAACATGCATAATTGTGTCAGTAAACTTTCACATAATCGATCCTAGAAACTAGATACATGCTTGGACACTTTCACACCACATCATACATGCACAAATACATTTGTATCATGCTTCATAACCCAAGTCACCACAACATACAAGAATTTAGCATCAAAAGTCAAACATTGCATAAAAGTTCATCTTTAACACAAGTCACCTAGTCCAATTATGCATTTTGGGTCATTACATGCATCCTATGAGCCTATTATGTTTAGTTTATTTTGTGACACTTGTCTAAACACTCTAATCACTTTCTTAAATCATATTTCAACGTCAATCAAATTTCCATATTCAAAATAACAAGAACATACACATAACCACACAATTTCACAAGTCCAACTTATTAAGCAATCATCACCACAAATTAAACTCCAAAACTCAAAATCTCCTTATTACGTCATATGCAAATCAAATGTCTAGGTTCCCAATGGTTCCCACATTGCCATCTTTAAGGAAATCACACATACGCTTTATTTCTTAGTATTGCCTTGCTTGATCACACCAAGTACCCGTTTATCACCTCCAAATCAGTAACTAGTCCTCTGAAAAGTGGTAAACAATGAGTGTAAGATGAAAAGCCTAGTGAATAACTGACATTCTAAGCAATGCACAACTCAAAGCTAAAAATAAGTCCTATGTGCAATCATACCTCTAATGCTCTATTCACAATTCACATGTTATTATGACATGCCACAATGCACCATAATTATACTAAAATAAACAGAATATTCATATGCCATTAATCGTCATATTATCCAAAGCAATCACATACACTCATGCACAATTACCTTTTTGGAATGACACACATTTCACACATTTTATTTCTAATTAAAGATCAACGAGTTTTGTTCAAACACAACTCACTCATTGGATAAACAGACTCCATACAACTCCCATTTTATTTGTGAACTCAATTAGGTCGAAAACCACGTGTTTGCAGAGCAAAGCTCAACGCACCTTCCTTGCCCCGTATAACCCGATAACCTTACACTTGACAAAACACATAGAGTACTCTTTCCTTGGCATGCCTTTCATATCCAAAGGTTCCATTAAGAACATAAGCCAATTAATCCAAGTTCATCAAGAGTGGTTGTTAACAATTCACGGTTTCACATATACATTTTCAAACTGATTTTGAAACACTATGGTTGTCGTGATTAATCACACATAAGGATATGGAGATAACTCCACTCGTACACATATTCACATATATATATATATATATATATATATATATATTTCAAATACGCTTTTGAAAACACCATGCACTATCCGCAACACATCACAATTCACATATCACATTGTATATCCAAAATTCACATCATATCTTTAAACCATTATGAGCATCAATGCAACATATCATAACCGGAATTCAATCTACGGAAATTAGTAAACTGTGTTTTCTTTTACCTTTGAATATGTTCATACACAAAGAATGAGAGTTACTCACCTTTGTTGCCCACTAAACCGAAATTGGCTCCGGACACTTAGGAAACTGCCACCAAAACATAATGCAACAATTCTCCCCAACAAGCAACTCAAGAAACGCCTTGGAAGCAAAATAACACATGAAGAACTCAACTAAAACAAAGCAGAATTTCTGTTTCTAAAACAGAGCGAAAATATCAAAACAACCGAAAAACTTACCGACACAATCCTTAGCACTTCTGATTCGATTGGCAAAACTCTTTCTCGATAGAAAATGGTCAAGAACAATAATTATTAACAACTAATCCCAACTAAAAGCCTCAGAATAACCTCTTCTAATCTAAATTCCTGGATTTCAGAAAAATATCAAAATCTCACTTGTTTTCAAGAAATCGATATCCAAACCATTACCAAATGAAAAACTGATTTAGTATGAATATAATCACTCCAAAAACATCTCAATTATTTCTAGAAAAACCCCAAATCAACTCAGTAAAAATATATCTTTAATTAATTCCGAAAATCACCATTGAATCCAAAATTCCTCTTTAGAAAAGATTGATTAATCAAAAACACCAATCACATAGATCATTAATCGTATAAGCAAAAAAAAAAAGAACCAAGGAAGGAGCATTACTTTACTGTAAAAGAGAAGGAAGGAAAGAGACGATCAACAACATTCACCAAAAAGAATTTAGGAAAAATAAGAAAAGCTGAAAATGAAACAATCTTTGTTTAGAAAAGGAAATCAAAAAGGAAAGAGATAGAAATCATCAACAAAGAAATTGAAAAGGAATTAAAAAGGTTTCAGCCATGAGAGAGCTTGAGAGTATTTTGGGAAAAAAATATACGATAGAATTTTTGAGAAAAGAGAGAATAGACGATTAATCACAGAACCAAAATGAGAATGAGAAAAGGATTAGAAAAATGAATCTAGATGGAATTTTAGTAAAAAGGAGATATTAAAATACAATTAATTGAGGAGGGAAAAACACTTAATACAATCCTGGGTGAAATAAGCTTCATAGATTTTCGATTTTATGATCTTTACAATTGAGTCACTAAAATACTATTTTAAAATCATTCAATTTATTCAATTGCAAAATAAAATAATAAATTCCCAAAAATACAAAATATCTAATTCCAAATCATTTAAAACCAATTTAATAATTATTTAACCACTAAAAATATCAAAATGAATTTTTTATCAAAAATCCGGAAACTGACCCAATTTTCGACCCGAACTTTGGGACATTACAATTTTATTAATGTGGATGAGATTGAAAATCAAATTATTGCTAAATTTTTCGATCTTGAAAGATACGGTAGTGTTCGCCATCAGGGATCCTTCTTTACCCTGACCAAATATTTAGGATCAAGCTCGTTTCAGTACATATCATAATACAACCAATCTTCGTAATCAAAAGTTAATTGATTAAAACAACAATTGATTGAAGTGAATGACAAATTTACTCAAATGAAAGCCAAAGCTGAAGGGAGAAAAACAGAGAGAGAAGTGAGAGAAGCAACATATCAGAAAAAATATGAAGAAATTTAAAATCAATTTGAAACTATGAAGCATATGATGCAGTAAAATCAAGCGAAAAATTCTTCATCCTAGTGATTTTTATGTTAATGCTTTGTCTATTCTAGTGAATAATGTTGAACTATGTTACGTTTCAATTGGATGTTTGTAAACTTTGATTTATTATATTTTATGTATTTTTACTTGGAATCGTAATTATATTTCAAGGTTGTTACTGGATATTGTTACAGATTAAATTTGGGTAATACAAAGTATGATAAAAATATTTTTAAAAATCAGTTGTGATTAGTGGCGTTTTAGGATGAAAAACGCATCTAATGGAATACATAATAGCGACATTTGTGTGAAAAAAGTGCTACTATATATATAGTTATTAGTGGCGACTGGGATCTTTTTGTTGTGTTTGTATCCAAAATGCTGCTATAAAACCCGATTCTTTGCCACGTTTGTATCCAAAACGCCGCTAAAAAACTTGACTTTTTGCGGCTTTTGTTAATGTAAAAACATTGCCAACACTTGTGTTTATTTAGCCGGTGCTTCTTGTGACATTTTTATTTTGCGTCAAAAGTATTTTTAGTGGCACTTTAAAACGAAGCTATGGGACTAAAAAGAACGACGTTACAGACATATTCTACTTGTTTGCTGACGTGCATCTCATAGATTTGATTCTTTCATTAATGATTACTATTTATTTGTTTTTTTTACTGATTTTTTATGCTTATTAAAAGTACATACGAGGTGCATAGAACTACAATACCTTACCCTTCAATAAAACCTTTCCTGGGCTTCCAACTTAATCTAAAACAATCAACGTTGAACGCTTCAAATGACATCAACTGAGAAATCCACTTAGACATATTTGTGCCAGTGAAAAGGTTAGGGGCAGAACATAAGAAGGACAAGTGAGGGCAGTGACACCTCCTAAAACTTAAAAATTATAATTAGGTCCTTAAAGTTTTAAAAAATAATTTAGCTCCTAAAATTTTTAGAAATTCATATTAAACTTTAATTTTTTTAATGTCCTTAATTAATTACCATCCCATAATATTTAAAAATTCTCATTAAACCTCTAAAAATTTCAAAAATTTTAGTTATATCTTAATTTTTATAGGAAAAAAAATGTAAAATGAACCTTTCAAAATTTTTAAAACTTTTAATTTAATCCTTTAGTTTTTTTTAAAATTTTTAAGTTGGTCCTCCCTAAACTCTTTCATCAAGTTCCTCCAATGAACAATGTCCTCAATTTTGATGTTATCCAGAAAGTACTGCCAACATCTGTTAGCGGCAACATTGTATGTGCAACAACCGAGATCATTGGCGGAACTTCATGGTCGCCAATGGAAGCCTTGAGCCTTGTCAATTATTTTTTTAAGTATTAATTAATATTAAAAATATAATTTTGAAAAATAAATAGAGAAAATTTTACCATCCCTTTAATTAAAAAAATTGTATTTATGGAAAATAAAAATATTTTAACCCCAACTATAATAAATTCCTAGTTCCACAACCTTAGGAAAAAAAGAAAAGAAAAGTTAAACTGGTAAAAGTAAGGTTACTAACTAGAGAATTTGTTACATGTAAACCTTCAGCTTCAAAGGACAAAGAGAATCATACCTCAGGCAGATGGCTCTTGGGACTTGGGAGTTGAGAATGATGATAGTGTATAATAATTTTTGTTGATAAAAACAGTTTAAACGTGAAATTGAAATGGAAAATACCTTATCGCAGTGGACATCGAACCTCTACTGTAATCAAACTTCTCGAAATTTCTTTGCAAACTAGCAAACCAAGGGGCATGACTATCTTCATTATGGAATCGAGTTTCACCTTGTCATGATGGTTCAAATCAAAGTTTGGCTTCTTCAAACTTCAAAGGATTCAATGACGTGAAGAAGAAGAAGAAGTGTCCCGTATGGTCAAACGTACCAAGTCCTCAGCATTCCATTACTATAGTAATCACAATTATCGACCAGTGACCGATTTATTATAAATCAACAATGTTAGTGACTAATTTGTTACTTTTGAAATTTTAATGGAAAAAACTAAAAATTTACCTAAATATTAGTGACCATTTGTGTAATTATCCTTTATAAAATCATATCTAACGTTACTTTTATTTCATTTTGATCATCTGTCACTAAAATATAAATCAAACTATTAATGTGATATTATTTTTTTTTTTTCAATGATGAAATATTAACATTAGTACTAATTTTTTATGATAAATGATAAAAAATATTCAAAATATAAAAATAGATATGATTTTAGAAAATAATTAAATAATCAAAACAAAACGGTGAAAATAAGTGAGTAACTAAACACGTAGTTTACCCAAAACACTATATGGCAATCGGTTGGTGTGCCCATTTCAGAGTTCAGACGATTCCCACCACAACAATCTAAAGTAAAGTTGTATCGTTTCTTATCTACATAATACACACTTGCGATTCTAACCAAAGAAAATAAAAGTGGAAAAGAAATGGGCGTGGTAATCATCGACGGATCCACGGTGAGAGCGTTCGTGGCAGACGAGGAAGAGTTCAAGAAGAGCGTGGACGAGAGTTTCGCCTCTCTTGACCTCAACAACGACGGCGTACTCTCCAGATCGGAGCTCCGCAAGGCCTTCGAGTCACTCCGCCTCCTCGAGTCCCACTTCGGCGTGGACGTCGTCACTCCTCCCGAACAGCTCACTCAGCTTTACAATTCCATCTTCGAGAGGTTCGATTGCGACGGCAGCGGCACCGTTGACCCCCAGGAGTTCAGATCTGAGATGAAGAAGATTTTGCTTGCTATTGCTGATGGGTTGGGCTCTTGCCCTATCCAGATGGTTCTTGAAGATGATGACAATAGTTTTCTGAAGAAAGCTTCTGATCTTGAAGCTGCTAAGCTTGAATCCAGCCACACTAAAGCCACCTGAATTATGTGCCAGGTTTCTATCCTTCAATTTACGTTTATATTTTGGATCATTTCAATTTTCGAACCTGTTTGTAATTGGATCTATCTAATATATATATTAATAAAAGAGGACAAAGTTTAATAATATTCTCATAAAAATACAAAATCCGAAGAAGAAATCGAATCTACATAAACTTTAAAATTATTTCAAAAATATATAGATCAAATGATATAAAACTATTTTATTTTAATCAATATTTAAATTTAAATTCTTGAATATACAACAACGATGAATTTTTTTATTTGATTTAATTTAATTATTTTTTAATTAAACAATTAAATGAAGAGACATTTATAATTAAAAAATAAACCCTTTAAAATTACAATAGCAATATAGTAGTCCCTTCCTATTAGCTACAATAATTACACATAATGTTTTATATGGTAAGAGTAAACAAATGATGATGCATTATAGTATGTTGTTTTAAATTTTTTTTATTATGAAAATTTACAAAATATTTTTTGTTAAGCATATTTATTATTAAAAGTTATAAAATGATCGATCGATTATTTTTATGTTTTAAATTTGTCATTTTTAGTAAAAAAATATTATAGTTGGAGTTACAAATTAACCTATTGACTGTTATATGATAGTCGTTTAAAATCTTGAGATCAAATTTTGTCATATCATAATTAATATGTTAATATTCATACATTCAATTTAGTCTGATATCATTTTTCTAATGAAAAATAAGTTAAGAACATATAAACAGTCGAATGATATTTTATAATTTTTAATAGTGAAAATACTCAATAAGATATTATTTTAATATAACAGAAATATATATATATATATATATTAATAATAGTTTAACCTTTCTTTATTTTTGATGCACGGGGAATTCACATATAATTACTAGTGCAGAGCAATTATCAAGAAAATCATCGAGATCCATAAATTCATATTTCTAAAATATTATCATAAAAAAGGCCGCCTTGGTGATGTGGTTATTGAAAATTGAATTTTCTTCGATGAAGTGTTTATTTTATTGATAATATTTATTTTAAATTTTTTTGCACCTATATTAAAATTTGAGTTTTCTTCGATTAATTAATTATTTTATAAAATATATTTATCTTAAAAAATATTTTTAAATCCGTTATTAGAAAAAATAATTTAGAAAGATATATGCATAATAAAATACACCATTTTATTTCTTGAGATTAAAGGATGCATTCTTTCATACCAAAGCTCCGCTTTTATAAAATTCAGGAGAGAAAAATGACAAACTTACATAATATCATTAAGTTATTTTTGAGCTTTGATCTCTATAAAAAACTTATTTTTTTATAAATTTTAAATCTAATTTTAATTTTGTATAGATAGGAGAAGGATAACTTTAAGGGAAGAAAGAAGAATACTCTTGATAAATTTAAAACCTATAACCTAAAAAAATATAAGGGAATATGGATAAATAACTTAACCAACCGACTAAATGTGTTTATTCTCATAGTCCAAACATTTAAGAAATTAAAACTAGATATAAACAACATTTTAAGATTTTTTTTAGATACCCAAATTATATTTTGTGGAGTCACAAAAGATATCTCAAGTTATAAAACAACACAAGGAAAAGGCATGTGCAGATTCACACATAATTTCTCTTTAAGCGTGATTATTCGTTATGGACGCATGTAGAGTTATTCATCAAATTGCCTTTCAAGAAGAATGAAGATGTCAACCATCAAAGGTTAATCTTTCATGAATGAACCCTGACCATCAGAAGCTTCAATAATCCGAATGTAAAGAGCTCAAACCACAAGGATTTATCGTGTCCTCAATCTCACAATGGGATTGTTAAGCCTTTTTATGTTGACAAGAGAGTGGAACATGCCCGATGAAAACTTAGATTGGTCATTAATTATCTATTATAAATATAACAATCAAAAGGAAAACCTTATTTAAAAAATCATAAAGAATAATAAAAAAACAAATACTTGATTTCAGTCCTATCAAATAAATGGAAACGAGTTGAGACCTACAATTACTCAGTTTTCTTAAGATAAATTTTTGTTCATTTTAGATGATCATCGTACATTATCACAACTACAAAGATCATGAATTATACCCTTACTTGCTCATATCACTTTAAACTAGGAGAGAAGAAAATGTATTTTTCGAATTGTGATTTACCTAACCGGTTTAGGAGAATAATTAGAGATATTTTATGAAATTAAGGTATTTCGGTATCAAAAAAATACAATATTTAAATCAAATATAAATTCATGAACTACACATCTTCATCCTATTAATATTCAAATTTAAAGTGATAATAAATTATCTCTTTTAATTTGGAATATTAAAAATTGATATATTTAAAGAAAAATTTACATAAAAGTGGGCTAAAATATTTATAGGCTTCCAAAAGATCTTATCAATATGAACATTCGCATCACCCACATCATACGGGTGCACCCCCAACTTAATGGGTTCGGCAAGCTTAGATTTACACCTAAGTCATTCAATAACCAATAAGTGGGTTGGTGTATATAAACACTTCTCATGCTTATTATCCTAACATGTGATAGATGAGTTTTTTTATTTTCCTTACACAATTCACAAGTACCATGCTTTGAGTACCAATTTTTCATTCATCATTCAATCGTTTTGAGCATATAAGAGACCGTTGTAAAGGTCTCATAAAGTAGAATATCAATACTAAATTTGTCATTCAAATTGCCACATTTTCCACACATTATTAACCTCTCAATCATTTCCCTCAAGATGACAAATTCATTCTGCGAACTTGGAATGCATAATTCTCCAGTCTTGCCAAAGCAAAGCTATTTTTCAAATTAGATCTTCAAGCTAGATTTTGGCAACTAGGCATATATCTTGTAGAAAAACTAAAATATCATTTTATATATCAAACACTTATTTCAAGTCGAAGGTTATGTCATTTGGAGGTGGATGGATGGTCGTCTGAGCTAATCAGGAGATGTTCGAGGAGTTACTAGTGTCATAGAGGGGGTGGCTGTTTGGTCACTGGAGTCCTGGTCCTTTTGATCTCTCTTACATGGATATTTATAGCACTTTGGATTTGGCTTTGTTGGCAGTTGCCATGTCACCAATCTTGATTGGTCATCTCACAATTGTCATATGGTTGGTTCTGATTGATTATTTCATGAGGGGGAATCATTTGTGCTGATTGATTTTCTAGAGTCATCATGTCATTAGTCTTGATTGGATGCCTTCAGGGTGATAGGTTAGGTTGAGGTGCCACGTGTATCGACCCGTGGTTGTTGCAGGGCCGGTTCTGGGTATTTTTTGACCCGAGACGAAATAAAAAAATGAGCCCCTATTTATGTTATTTATTCTTTGGTCCAGACGAAATAAAAGAAATGAACCCCTATTATAAAAAATATTATAGGCCCTTATCACTATTATGGGATCGAGAACCCAGAAACGCCATAAAAACGCCGCTTCCTGAAGTGGAATTGGCGGGTGCTGAGGGTTGGGGTTGAAAAGGAATGGATGATTGGGCCCTTACCACTATGGAAAATATTATGGGTCCTGGGCGGGCGCACCTCCTGCCCCAGCCCTGGGCGGGCGACCCTCCTGCCCCGGCCCAGTGCCAGCTCTGGGTTGTTGTTGATTGCCCGCAGGTTGTATTCGCGTGGTTGTTCGCATGGTAATGAGGGTCCATATGGGCCTTGTGTTCGCAAGTAGGGGTTGCAAGTCTATGGCTTCGCATGTGGTAACAATTGCCCCCGAATTGATGGAAGGTTGCAAAGTGACTTTCGCGAGCCTGAGAATTACTAGGTCTTTGGCACCAAAAGAAGCATTTTAGGAGTTCTATTTTCTCTGGATATTGAATTTTGAAATAAATGGCTTTATTTGGGTGACTTTTGGGTTGTCACATGTTTTAAAATTTTAAGCCCTGAGAGATGAATAGATTTGATATTTTTATTAAAATGAATCATTTTATTATACGAAAGGAAACATTTTAAAGAAGTTTTATTTGTCTTACAAATAGCGTCGCTTGTGGGGTTTTTTTTTTTGAAATTTTCTCGTTTCCATTGTTGATCTTTCCTCTTGAGAAGTGTAGGTAACCCTTTCTTGCTTTTCTACTTTTCCCTTCTGATATCCTTGGGACAACGATGGTTAATGACAAATATGATTGTAACAAATCTGAGGATGAGATGTTTCGGACATTAAAATGTAGGGTATCCTTTATGGAGATAATTTTAGGTACCAGTTTAGTCTGGTACAAGCAGGCGTGGGTATTTTCCTTTTTGGTACCTATTTTTGTCTTCGAGGCTAGTTTTCATTTACCCTTTCACGTCTTTTTCATAGATTGATTGAACTGGTATAGGATGTTTTCAAGTCAATTGGTTGGTTCCGATTGGTGGGTCTTAATGACCTACTTTTTGAGTTGTAAACTTCATGGGGAGGAGCCATCAATAACTGTCTTCTACCATTTCTATAATGTTTTTTATGCTAGTGAAAAATCAACATGGGGATTTGTTATGATTTCCCTTTACCATGGGATGACACCGGTGATGAGTAATATTTCCTTTAACTTTTGCCTCAGCCAGTCAAACTACATTCAAGTGGAGCGACGATTCGGGGAGTTTCAGTTTTCTTTGGTCTGATGTATTCCTGCTAAGGGTAGGTGCGTTCCTCCCAAAGAGTTTTCTGTTGAGGAGGCGAGGCAAATTCGAAGGAAACAAAGTGGGACTTTTTCATGGTTTGAAGAGGTCTGCACGATGGTAAATGTGTGGAAGTATTACCAATGGATGGGAATCTATTGAGGGCACTAACCTTTCTAAGAAGTTTTTGACGAATACCCTCAAATGCATGGAAGTGTGGCCTTAATGTTGGAGAACCTATTTCCTAGTGAGAGAATTTTGTTGGAGTTAAAGGAAGAATCTTCTAATTTCTTTGGCCACTATACCGATGCCTTGTCTGCCTTTGGAGGTATAAAGATGAAGGAGAGTTTGTGGGACAAGGGAAAGATAACTACAGCAAAATAGAGTTTTAGCGACATTTTTTTAGTCCTATAACGGTATTTTTAAGCGCCGCTAACAGCGCTTGCGGCAATCGGAAAAACACCGCAAGAAGCGCTGTTAAAACCAGCGTCGCTAAAGTTAGCGGCGTTTGAGAACCAAAAACGCCACCATAGGTCAAGATCTATAGCGGCGTTTTTGAAACAAACGCCACAAAATGTCGATATCTATAGCAACGTTTTTGGAACAAACGCCGCAAAAAGTCTATATCTATAGCGGCGTTTTTGGAGCGAAAGGTCGAGAACTATCACTATAGCAAAACATGTATTTTGCGGTATTTTTTTTACCTATAGCGGCATTTTTAAGCGCCGCTAAAAACACATGCGGCGTTATGACAAACGCCGCAAAAAGCGCCGCTGAAAATAGCGCCGCTAAAGTTAGCGGCGTTTTTTAAAAAATGTCGCAATAGGTTACAACATATAGCGGTGTTTTCTGAACAAACGCCGCAATAGGATTTGTTATTTAGCGGCGTTTTTCAGAAAAACGCCGCAATAGGCGTTGATGTTTAACGGCGTTTTTAGAACGCCGCAAATGGTTTTGAGATGTAGCGGCGTTTTACTTAAAACCGTCGCAATAGGTTTTGATATTTTGCGATGTTTTTCCCAAAAATGCCACAGTAAGTTATGTTTTTTAGCGGCGTTTTTATCGAAAACGACGCAATAAGAGTTGAGAATTAGCGGCGTTTCTAGTGCAAAACGCCGCAAAAGGTCAAACCTATAACGGCATTTTTGGAAACAAACGTCGCAAAAGGTCAGATCTATAGCGGCGTTTTTGGATACAAATGCTGCAAAAAGTCAGATCTATAGCGGCATTTTTGGATACAAACGCCGCTATTTACCTTTCTTTAGCTAATATTAATTGATTTTGCATATTTCATTTTTGCTTTACATCACCTAAATTTAACATCATGTAACTTTATCTAATTAACAACAACCATACATTTTAATTAAGACACAAGTTATGCAAAAAAATACTTGACACAAGTTATGCAAAAAAATACTTAACACGATAAATAAAAATTTATAAACATTAAAATTAAATGTAATGTAGTTTGACATTGTTCTCTAGTACAAGAAACACTTGTCGAGATTAACGAGTAAACACTCTAAAGTTGTTTGGCTATGGCTTCACGTGCATCAGATAAACTACGCTTTGTTGCAAACATCATATCAGGAAGTCTCCAAGCATGAAACCAGTTAAGAAATATAACTTATAGCCAAGTGTAAAGATGCATTTTTTTATGCAAGTAGTTTATTTGAATGGAAACAATCATAACATGTTCCACGTCCAGTAACAATTGTAATTGGTCTGTTTGAAGCCAAGATTTGTAGTTCCTGCCTTAGAGTATTAACCTATAAATGAAAAAAAAAGTTACAAATAATATATAAGGATAATAGGAGAGTTGTCGTCGCTGATATGATATAAACAAAATTAATAACAAAAATATCATAAATGCTTAACATTATCAATCATATATTGCTCAAGAAAGTTACAAAAGCATGAAAATACATAGGATAACCAATAACGTGCACAAACTTAATCTGCCAACTTTCCAGATTGTGATTTAAATGAATATAAAAATTTACTCGTGTAAAATTGACATGCAGTCACCCAGTGACAGTAAATTAAAATTTCATAATAAATTAATTTTCAAGGCATTTGCAACCTACTGCCATCACTAAAGAAAGGTAATATTTGCAATCATCCATAATGAAATATAACTTCATAAAAAAGAATTTTTCATCATTTTCCAGTTGGCATTTTGGGTTTCAACCATAACAATCAAACAAGCAAAAATACTTCTAAATATCAGAAACACAAACAATTGTCAATTTAGTAGATACTCAGATTATTATTTGGCACTCATAATCAACATAGAAGATCAAATACAAACCTGAGCCACCAAATAGTCATTGCGTGGCTTGTTTACAGATGGTGTAGAGTCATCATGCTTAAGTTGTCGATAAACAATCTGCAACAGGAGAAAATAATGACCAATTCAAGAATAAACTAAATGCACAATCATCTCAGAATAACATATTTTAAGGAACACAAGCAAAAGTCTTTAGTTTTAAGTCATGGCTCAGAAAAGTGGAAAAATACCTTAAAAGCACCAGATACAAAATCAGATACACTTGAAATAATACTACCTACCCAAAATATGTTTTCAACCTTAAAATCATGAAGCCTATAAAGATTTCAAACATGCAATAATCAGGTTCACTGTTAAAATACAATATGAATTACTCACAACTTGTGGTGAAAGATTTTCATGACTATTCTTAGCACTCTTTATTTCATCAGAGCACAAGGTATCTAAAATTCCATGCTTTACAATTGTCTCCTCACTTTCAACTTCCATAAACTCCCTTTCATTGCCTCTTTCGTCCTCAGCTACATCTTCAAATGCAGTCCCTGCCATATCCTTGCTTGAATTCCCATCATGATCATCAATGGAAAAATATGTCCTGAAAACATGTAAAAATTTACAAGACCTTAAAAAATACCAAGCCTTAATCAACATAGAGGCAAACTACAAAAGCTAAATGCTCATTTCTTTGCAACCTCAAGCCTCCTTCACCGAATCTTCTCTAAAACTGATGATATGGGCTTTTGAACAATCGGTGCTGGTTGAAACGCAACATGTATAGTTTCTAACCCAGAGTCATACATAAATCAAGAGTTAGATAGTCATCATCAAAATCATTTATGAAGCTACATACCAAAATTGTACATAAACCTTGATTGTTCATAATACCTCAGAGCAGTCTCTGAGATTCAGCACGAAGTTGGACAAGATATTCTCTTCTTTCCTGCAAAAAAATATTAATAATAAACCATGAAAAAGTAGACAAATAACATTTCGAAACAAATAACTTAACATAGAATTTTATGTTATTATGTGAAATTGTTATCTAAAAGTAAGAACAAAATATTTATCTGCAAGACTGCACCTTCTCTATTATTCTTTCAGGTAAGATGAGCATCTACCCATCGCCAACGCCTTTCACTCTCATTTCTTTTTCATTCTTTTACTCTCCGTTTCTTCGAAACTAGGCAGTTTCTTCTCTGACTTCTCCGGTTCAAAATATCTAATTCTTTTCTCTTGACTCTGATCTTCAACGTTTCCATCAACTTCCTCGGTCATTGAATCAAAATCCAAAGCCCATTTAGCAACTGAATCCGACCTGTTTCTCTCAACACCTAACACATCAAAGCCAAAACTCAATTCATTTTCCTCCTCAAAAGAACCCTCGTATAAGGATCCCGATTTCAGCTCCTCAACTACATGGGGCTCCGATGTACCAAAATCCAGGGCTTCAATTGGGGATGTATTTTCTGAAATCGTTTTCACCTTCTCCAATCGTTTAAATTTTCTTTCTTGACTAGGAGAAGATGTCTCGTCGGAAGGCAAAATAAGCTCTAGATCCTCGTTGTTGTCCATGTCGGCGGAAATATAATTATTCTTTCGCGGCTAGGAGATAGGAGAAGATGTCGTGTCGGGGGTTTTCAAGGAAGAATTAGGGAAGAAGAGGGAAGATTGGGAAGAAAGGTTCAAAAGAATTAGGGATCAGCCAGGAGAAATGAGGGACATATAATTATTCTTTCGCGGCGTTTACATGAAAAAACGCCACTAATGTACGTGATTTTGCGGCGTTTGTTAAAACGCCGCTAATGTACAAGTCTATAGCGGCATTTTTCCAAAAGGTCCAGTAATCCATGAGTTTATAGCGGCGTTTTTAATAAAACAATAGTACAGTACGAGATTTTAGCGGTGTTTACATGAAAAAACGCCACTAATGTACGTGATTTTGCGGCGTTTTTATAACAAACGTTACAACCATACATTTTAATTAAGACAGAAGTCCTTATGCATAAAACTACTTAACAACAAAATACATTATAATTTAGAAACATTAAAGTACTTATGCATAAACAGTCTTCACCATACATTATAATTTAGAAACATTAAAGTACTTATGCATAAACAGTCTTCAACATACATTATAATTTAGAAACATTAAAGTACTTATGCATAAACAGTCTTCACCATATTGTTCAGTACAATTTAGTCTTCATTGCTCATTCGTGGGGAAAGGACGTAGGAAAGCTGTTTTCCTTGTTTGACGACGCATCGTTAAGTTTTTCCTCCGTGTAAATTCTATATGGAGAAACTCTTCATCCATTTTACCAAATAAATCTCCTACCTCCGGTTCACCAAGAAGACTCCTTGCGCGCTTCAGTGCTTCACTTGAAACAGATAACGACCCTCCACCTACAGTATAAAACTTGATTGGAGGTGCTTGGGAATTGAATCAAACATTAAAATATATTTAAATAGATGATATAAACGTTTACTTTGAGTAACAGTAGAGGCAACATCGTCTTCATTGAGGATCGATACTGCTTTTGCAATTGAAGATTCTTTCAACGCCACAGAGTTACCAAATTCGTTTCTAAACATAGGGTATTTATCCATTTCTCTATCATCATTCTCAATAAGCTTCGAAGATCCTACATGCGTACGATCTATGAAATTTGAGTGACCGTACAAAAAGGGAAATATAGCGGCATAAAGATTCATAAAATTTTACCTTCAAGTAGGAGATCAGCCATGGAAGGGTATGGAGCAATATGAGTTCCTGTCGAGTCATCATCGAGTTTCGACGGCGAAACCGGACCGATAGCCTCCCAGCGATAATTTGATCCATCGTCAGAGCAAAGACGCCACGTAGACATTCCGACGATAATTTCTCTTACTCAAGGCAAGACCTGTTCTTTTTTTCTCAAATATGTTAGCTTTATGGGTTTTCCCCATTTTCAGAATACCAACCAAAACAAAATTGAAAAAGATCATTAGTGATAAGAGGGATCAAATCATGGAATTGTGTTATAGTTCATCGGTGAGAGGGCCGATTTGGTCGCCGGGATAGACAAAAGACGACGTCGCTTGGAATCGTGTAAGGGTCGTTGTTGTACCAGAAAATAAACTATGAGGGAAGAAGAGTTGAAATGAATTTAGGGTTTGGGTGGGAGAAAAGGGAGGACAATATATTTAACATTTTACGGTGTTTTTAACAAACGCCACTATATAATATGTTTTTTACGGCGTTTATACAAAAAAACGCCGCTAATTTACCACTCTATTGCGACGTTTTTGGTATAAACGCCGCTAAATTAACACTATATTGCGGCGTTTTTACTATAAACGCCGCTATTGTTTAACCTTTCTGTGGCGTTTGTCTAAAAACGACGCAAAAACTATTATTAATTGCGGCGTTTGTTGAAAAAACGCCACTATATACCATCCTATGGCGGCGTTTTTAACAAAAACGCCGCTATATTTATACTCTATTGTAGCGTTTTCACAAAAAATGCCGCTAAAGTCTCAATTTGTGGTGTTTGGATTGAAAACGCTGCTATATGTAATACTTTTGTGGCGTTTTATCAACAAACGCCGCTAAAAACGCCGCTACAGAACAATTTTGCTGTAGTATATAGCGGCATTTTTGGAACAAACGCCGCGGAAGGTCGATATCTATAGCGGCATTTTTGGAACAAACACCGCAAAAGGTCATAACTATAGCTACATTTTTGGATACAAACGCCGCAAAAGGTCATATCTATAGCGACGTTTTTGGAATAAACGTCGCAAAAGGTCAAGATCTATAGCGGCATTTTTGGAATAAACGCCACAAAAGGTCATATCAATAGCGACGTTTTTGGAATAAACGCCGCAAAAGGTCATATCTATAGCGGCGTTTTTGGATACAAACGCCGTAAAAGGTCATATCTGTATCTGTGTTTTTGGAACAAACGCCACAAAAAGTCATATCTATAGCAGCGTTTTTGGATACAAACGCCGCAAAAAGTCATATCTATAGCAGCGTTTTTGGATACAAACGCCGCTAACCTTTCTTTGGCTAAGATTAGTTGATTTTGCATATTTCATTTCTGCTCTACATCACCTAAATTTAATATCATGTAGCTTAATTAACAACAACCATACATTTTAATTAAAGTATAAGTTATGAAGAAAAATACTTGAGAACAAAATAACTTAAAATTTATAAACATTAAAATTAAATGTAATGTAGTTTGATATTGTTCTCTAGGATTTAGTCTAGGTTCTTTCACTTTCAATTAAAAAAAATATTGTTCACTAGAATTTAGTCTTCATTGCTCTTTCAATTAAATCCACTAGCTCTGGTTCACTATCTACTTTAACACAAAGAAAAGCTGTTGTGCCAAAAATGTCCTCATTATGAGCTGATTTCAGTTGCTCCTCCCTCATTGCCTACATATAAACACAACACCAGTTATGCTAGAGCAACTAAACTAATTGTCTCCCACAAAACACAAATAACATACATACAACATAACAGGTATGAATGAACATCAATTGGAATTTGAAACAAGGACAGATGAAAATGAATGATGCATCACCTCTATGGCAGAAAACCGAAAACTCCGGCTAATATGCTTCACTAATGATGCATCATCTTCAGTAACTGCCAACAATGAGGCACATGAAGTAAGTTCTAGTACACCTTTGTTCACTCCAAGATTACAAATATTTCAAGCTAAAGGTTGCAAAGTGAGCTCGAATATATAAATTTATAAGTGAAGTACATATTCAATGATAATCGTTGATTATTATAAACCAATAGATTCCCCTAAATAATTGAACATTGTCAGTTTTCAGATTATTATACAAAATCAAGACATTACTTGAGAAACAAGGATACTTTAGTTTATTCCTAAAATAAGCATTCAATTCAATGTAGGTAAAAGATCAATAGTTTGATTTACAAATTTCTTAACTTCCCCTTAAAGCTTTAAAAAAAAGCAAGGGAGTTACAAGAATTCTTCTTGTGAAGGGAAGAGAACTGAGTGCAGAGAGGCCTTACATGCTTGTAGGATTTACGATTTGGGAGGGCCTAAAACAATAGATGGTTGAACAGCTTTAGCGTCTATAAAATTTGAGAGGAAACCAATAAACTTCATTTTATGTCCAGCCTTTATTAACTCTCGACAGCAAGTATAAATGAATTATGATTTACCTAGATCAAATGCTTGATAGTAATACTCATCATTATTTATGAGGTTTAACATCTAATACCTGTTAAATTTTATATTAAATAGCCAAATCTCGCTCCAAATATTCATATTACAGAACAATGTAAGCATTGAATCCAACTTTTACTTAGGACACGACTAGAGTTTTTCCATGCACAATACAAAAAATTTACTTACCTGACCAAGAGCAGTTTGAAGATTTAGTAGTTCAACATTTTTTGCATGTATTATTCTTATAAAGTTTGCAACCTTCTCATTCATATCATCCATTTTTTACGATTCTTCAGATTCCTAGATAATTTTGCCTCTGATGGACATAAATACAATCCAAGACTAAACTTTAGTTAACAAATTGATTGTTGAGACCAATGAAGAGACTGATTGTAATAGATTCAATAAACGGCTGATAACAGAAAACAGGCATACAGATTAAACTGAAAGTACTATATTAGAGGCAATTAACTTCTTAAGTCCTATTGCTACTTGAAAATAATGGGGGTCCAAAATTTTAATTCCAACTATCTACTTGAAACATAATTTAGAAAAAGGCACATCACCATTATTAAAGACTATTATTATTGTGAGATGTAAAACTTGAAACTAATAGAATTCACAATGAGAAAATGGAAAGGCAGTCGTCAACACACATATGCAGTGCAAGGAAAGGATGATAAAAACAATCAACATCATCAGCAGGATTCTGAAACGTTTGGTTAGCACTTTGAACTTGAGCAAAACGTAAGCTAAAGAGAAGAATATAGATAGTGAAAATCTATTACTTTTATC